AACTCCTATCAGCTCTATTATCTGGATGAGAAATCAGTTCTTATCATTCAGAAAGAGTTCTAGCTGGGAAAAAAATGCAACCTAAGGGTATCATAGACCACAATCCTACTGCAATGTGCATCTGATCTGGCAATCATCCAGGTAAGGGGTGGTTGTGAACTCCTGTCTTCTTAAAAAGGACGTTTCCCCTTGCAAGTAAAAACAATTTTTTTGCAACAATCTAGTTGGTCTAATAAAAGATATTACCTCTACCATGAATTCTGATTCCTTCCTCCTCTTGTCAGGCATTTTATGAACACTCTCAGTGCTATGAAGAACCTTGTATTAATAATAGTTCAGTTTCAACTGAGAATCTTATGTACTTGCTCTGGGTTTAGCAAATGGCAGTGTGGAAGCAAACATCCTGCAAGTCGGGAGCTTTGAACCACTGACGAACCAATCACTTGACTGTCAGCACCAGGTCCCAGGGATCAGGCTGGGAGTAGCCCTGCAGTGGCAAGACTGGAATCTGGAGAATTTTATGCCTCATCCCATATATCACACATTGTGTCATTCATGCACATTCGACATGACAGGATGCATGATTTTTGGGACAGATCATAAATTTCCTCAGATCCTAATCACACCATTATTTTAATGTCTGCCAGGGGCCTAATTGGTTTGCCAGAGTTTATAAAGAAAGTCTGAAGCTGGCCCAGGAACTGAATTCAGATAAGTTAAGGAGCTGTCCACTTGCTTTGTTCTCAAGTAGTTGTATTTTAATGTAAAACCAAGCTGTCTTTTTAAATATGAAGTTTTACCCTTTTTTCAAGGAAATATTTTGAAGGCCCAGCAGTTTCAACTGGAAAAAAATGCATAAAAAGTTTGATGTTCCTAAGTCTCTGGTCTCTTTCAAATGTCGTTTTCTGGGTCAACATACATCTTCTGAATGATGTGAACTTTGCTCATATACAATGTAAGAGACCTCAGAGAGGATTTATATTTTAACTTCAGAAGTAGACAATAGGCCACTACTGATATTGCAGTCTACAGTTGTATAGGATAAAAAATTGGCCACTAATAGTTGAGGCAAATTGATATCCTGCAATTTTAAAAATCTCTGCACTCTCTATTTTTAAAACGAAGAAGTTCTGCACTAATTTTCCAATAATTCTTCATAATAGTCCATTTAATACATAATAGAAAAACATCACATCAGATAATTAAGTATCTCAGCACTCTTGTAAGATAACTCAATGCCATTTTTGCCATTTTTACAGAAGGATAAGCTGCAGCACAGACACAGACACAGTTAAGTGCCCTACATGGACTTTTAATGAATTAGTAGCAGAGATTTCTGTTCATCTCCTTTCTGTTACAGGTCTGAATATATTATCCCTAGCTATCTGAAAGCCTTGTATTTAAAACTGACTGTTATAGCATTAGATGCAATTAATTTCTTTGCATCCAGAGGAAAATTCACAGTTGACTATACAAGTCTCACGATTTGTTGTTTTTGTCAAGGATTGATGAGTAGTTTGGAAAATAATGGCTTGTCAATCCAAGAGCTCCATTACAGGTGTGGATGGTCTAGGAGGCTCTATTGTTATCATGTTAGAATTTTCAATTAGAGTTTTGTTCCAAGTGCTTATTACCCTAAGAGACCATAAATACTGAAAGCTTTTTAATACAGTGGAACAATGAAAAGGTTTTTGTAGCTGCTGCACAGTGCAGACACTAGAGAGTATGATATGTAAGCAGGGGCAAGGGTTACAGTAATATGATTACAATTATTTCCATGCTACAAATATTGAGAAAAGAAAGAATAATTTAGGATGGTTCAAGGAGGGAAGGATTATCATTGAGTAATGAGGTGAGCAAGAGAAAGAGTATTAGATTATGGCAAAGTGTCTCAAAGGAAACGAGGAAATTCTGACAGCTTGTGTTATTTAAAATTAGATGTAGGGAACATCAACTATTGTAGGGAACATCAACATCCTGACTGGGGAGATGTTTGAAATTTAATAGCACCCATTTAAAGACTAATTTATTTCTTAAACTGCTTACTTTTTCACTCCTTGTGGCACTCTTAAAACCATCTCATAGGGTGGCAGGGTGGACAGGGCACCCATGGTGGTGGTGGAGCATGCAGTGTTCAGTGCTGGCAGGGGCTGCTTAGCAAGTCAGACTAGGGGTATGGCGTGGGTCATTAGACCCCTGAAGGAGGCAGCTATCCTGGTGGAAGGGGGTGACAGTGGCCTTTGGTGCAGAGGCTGGTGCCAGATGAAGGCAGCAGGGGAAGGATCCTGACATGCCCTGATCTTTCTGATATCTGTCCCCTCCCTGTCCTCATCTCTGCCTAAGGGGATAAGCATGGCCATTCCCATATACCATTCCCCACAGCCTCTCCCATCAGTTCCAGAAGCATGAGAGGAGCTGGACTGAAAAAATGTAGCTCTGTGCCCTACTGACCATTCACTCACACACTTGTGGCAAAGCGTGTCACACAGAACAGGAATGGTTGACACAGGGTCTGCTGGTGGACAAGAGCTTTAATTTTCAGCCCAGTTCCTTCTCTCACTCCTCCCATGCTCTTGGAACTGATGTAAGGGGTTATGGAGAGCACTGCCAGGATGTTGGGGTGGGTTCAGGGTGCTTGGCATGGGGAAGTGCCAGTGCTTACCTCTTCTCACAGGGGCTGGGTGCTGCATCACCCTTCAAAGGAGCTTGCGACACCTCCGTTGAGAATCACTATTCTAGAAAATCTGATAATGCTTTTCCTCCTATTTATGATTCTGTGAGTCTGCCACAGCAGACTAAGGCTGTCATGTGAACTGAAACTGAACATGCTTTGGAAGAAAATTAAGGACTTACACATGTCCCAAAACATTGGCACCCTTTAGAATGAGGAAGTATTATGTCAGGCTCTCATAAAACAAATATCACTCCTACCAATGCTAAAGAGTGCTCTATGTATGCATGCAGAGAGATACATCATTAAGTGACAATGTAATTTCAGTACGCAGTGCTGAACTGTATGTAGAAAGCAGACGGATGCCACAAGATTATCTGAGAAACACAAATGGAAGAGTAGAGGCCAAAACAGTAGTCACTTGAGCAAAGGAATAGCTAAGCATTGTTGAGTGAAGGCTATTGGATGTCCTTGAGCTGGGAAAAAGTAAAAGAAGGTAGATTTATGTAACATTTAAACGTGTGAATCTAGATAGATTTCTCCTTGTCTTCTTTTTGTTTGTCCCTGAATGTCCTATGTTCCTACAAAATTCCTTTTTATTCTTAGAAAGAATAATACAATGTAATTGAGCTCAGTGAATAAGAGGTCTGATTTTGGTTTTGAACATTATACATTTAAATAGCTCTGAGGTATGTTTTCATTAAAAATCCTTGCTGGTTACATACAGTTTTCTTTCAGTCTGACTTGGTTGACAACATTCATGACCTTTCCAGTACCATCTCAACAGCAGCAATGGTACCTCTTCAAAAATATTTGCATAGAAAAAAAGCCAGCACAGAATGGGAGGAGAGAGAAAATAATTTACTATATAACTATCTGCAAAAATGTTATCCATGGCCAAGTGAAACAATATACAATCATGGCTGACTTGACTTCCTCCAGAGTTCCCATGTACTGGTTTATGAAGGCTTTAATATGTTAATTCACAACTGAGGTTTGGTTATTTCAGACATTACACTAGACATTTCAGACATTACAATAACACCCTTTACAAAAACCCTGATTTTTGCGTATAATGATTGACCTCTTTTTCCCTCCACCTTGATTTCATTTACACAAATTAAATTATTTTGAACAACTCTGAAACTACCATCTTAATTTATTCAGACTTAGGGCTGGCATACAATCTATTACACTTAACAGCTGTTTGGGAGAACTAGAGATACAAAGGGTTTGAAAAAAACACTCATTGCTGCTGCTGTGGAAGTGATGCCTTGAGAGAATATGGACTTGCCTGCACATGGATTTGAAGTATGTATATCTATGTAACAAAATACATTGCTTGTAATATGTCCATAGTTCCCAACATGTATTGAGTGGTAATATTAAAAAAGCTTTGTCTGAAAATGTCTAATAAAGTTATACTGATGTCACAATAGCAAACTAACCAGGTCTTCTTAAAAAGACAATGTTTATTCATTTCTGTTTTGACCAAATAAAGGCTTTGATTATTCAGACAGTATGAAACAAGATAAAAGGGAAAAAAGTTTAAGAAACAAACAAAACAAAAAATATTAATGTACAATACAGAAACCCCACAAAAGTAACTGATCTATAAAAAATATCTGGATGCAGTTTGTTTTCATATAAATTCAACATTACAATGGGCCAAAAAAGCAAAAAATATTTTAAAATCACTAACTCCCAGTAAGAGCTTTCTCATTCCATCAACAGTTGAAATTCATACTTTTCCCTTAGTGTATTAGAAATAGACAGGATGCATTATAAACATAATGTGACAGTTTAATGAAAGCATTATTAGCAAGGTCACTTGAACAGCATTTTCCATGTGTTAGACCTAAGTGCTTGCACTTTGAGAATAGTTTCTCCCCCCATAACATTGGATATAAATTCCATTAAGTTTGTTTCACTCCAGGGAAGTTCATAATGCAGGAGAAGTGATACAATTCCTCACAGCCACCGCTTTTCCCAGACTTGCTTTTCCTTAAAACAGCGAGCAAGGCACGTGATTCCTTTCAACATTTTTCCAAAGCTACAAGCCACACCCAATGGCTCTGATTCTTTCGTGGTTTAACAGTTTTATTTGAAAAGACAATTCTGCTCTTAAGAAGGAACATGATTTTCTAAACCCAGAATGTAATGAAACACCCAGGAAAATAATGTAGTTCCAACCTAACATGTTGGAGATTTTCTCAAGGGAGCTGGGGTTTTCTGATGCAACACGCAAATAAAAAATGCACCAGCAGCCCTACCCCATAACTATCCTATATCAAGGGCATCTGCCATGACATTAGAGTTGGGTACTTACCACTGGATGATCTCAGTAATCTGGGCTTCCCAATGTGCCACAGATTCCTTTTTGTCTGCCAGGTCTCTCATCTCTTCCTCCAGCTGTCGGTTGTTCATACTTAGTCTCTCAAACATGGTGGTGAGCTGAATGATAATGTCAAAAAGCCTTTTTAGTCTATAAACAGCTGTGACTTGACCCTTATGTCAGCCTGAGCTGATCAAGGAGTTTTATTTCTCTGTGCTCTACCTTTTAGTACCTCCTTTAAAAACCCATATCAATCGCAATGAGTTTGTGACATTTGCTTCTATGTCTAGATGTAGCTGTGTTGAAAGGCCCTTTGTAAGGACCAAAACTGCATTTCTGCTTCAGAAAACAAATCAGAATTGGAGTTACTATCAGAATGACACTCTTGCAATATTTTTGACAAGCCTTAGGACTTCTCTTTTATGTACAGATGTGGATATACATTGCTTGCAGAAGCATAAGATGAAAGGGCTTGAGCAAAACAAGAAATGCAAGACACCCTGATCTTCTGTTCCAGCTCTGCTCTGTAGCTATGAGATCTTCTGCTTGTTCAGCAGGAGTCAGGCCTAAGAAAGTATTGCATAGCCTTGTCTCTCCAGATACTTTAATTCTCCACCTATGCCCAATTCCACTTCATCTTCTTCCATATTTGAAACATACTACATCTATACCTAGCAGTTCACCCACCCATACCAAACTTGCATTGGCAACATTGAATGCAGCTCACTGTGTTCAGCAGCCTAGTGGATAGACAACTTACTCAGAAAGTGGGCCCTAAGTCCTCCACAATTTGAGGTGATTTGAACCCTTCAATGCCTTAACCACCAGGATACAGAACAGACTAGATAAAGGTAGTTACCACCCTGCCCTGTTGAAGGTGGATCACTGGGCAGATGAGCATACAAGAGTCATGGCATCAGAAGAGCAAGCAAGAGGGAGCTGGACTCTGTAGTTTAGTGATTGGGTGGGGGAGGGATCAGATTCCTTGGTTCCAGTCCCTGGTCCTAAAACTGTTTATGCATTTTACGGTTAAATAAAAAACAATCACTCTAGTGGCAGAGACTGGAAGCTGGGGTTTCTTTTCCCTCCCAGGGGATGCTTACCATGCTGGTCCGCATAGGCATGCTCCTTGTTGGTAGTCCATCCCAAGGACTGTTGCTTTCTGCACTGCCCAGTGGCTCAGCTTCATCAGGAAAAGTGACGCGTGCCTTTGCTTAACATATTCCAGGTGTGCCTTCTCCTATTCTGTGTTAAGTGGAAGCTAAACTGAGGCATTTTGTCCCCATTTCATTCACAATGTGCTATTCAGGAGGCAGCTACTCTGATTTAGCTTTTACTTGCCATAAGGTAGGGGTAGATACATGAATCAGTTACCATGGAAGGAACAGCCCTCCACCCCTACTAACTCAGTAGAGCTTTTCTGTCCAAAGCATGAATTATGGGGTCTAATAAATAAGAGGTACCCCATCTGGAGACAAGAATATAGGGTCTATATATAGGAATATAGGGAATGTAGTGTAGGTCATGGTAGAGATGGATACTGTGGATCCAATTTATATAATCTCCAACACAGGATTTACTGAAAGTTGAACTGATAACCAAGCCACTCACATAAGCAACACTCACCTTATCTAGCTCATTTGAGAGCTTTTTGTTTTCCTCCATTAACAGAATTTTCTCGCGTTCATACTTCTGTTTGAATTCTGTTTCAAACTCCTCTCTTTCACTTTGGCTAAGGTGTAATGAAAATACAGTAAGTTTCATATTATCCTACCTCATTATTTCCTTAAATCTAATTATGGTTGCAATGTGTAACTATGTAAGGACTGTGAAGCATACAAAAAGGTGAAAGTATTATATAGGAAACCTACTAAACTGTGAACGTGATTATCTGCTTAATCTTAGGACTCTGAAACAGTGTGTTCAATGTTATTAGTACAGATATTAACCTTCTTTTGCTGCAGGATTAATATAGCTAACATTTATCAACTTCTTAGAAGTACTTCATTCTTTAGGGCAATCTTCCAAACTTATCGGCAGTTTTTATTTTGCAAAATAAAATATATCAATCTGATTTCAAGGCATCTCCACAGAGTTGAAGACACTCACAGGTAAGGGAAAGCCCTTTCGTATACATTGTTTTGTTAAGATGACATTTTACTTTTCACACATCTCTGCATTTCTAGTTCCTAGGCAGGATTACAGACAGAATTGTCAGATGCAAGACCTAGACATATTAGCATCTCATGTGCGAAACACACATTGGTCTAGCAAGATTGATCCCATGAAGAGAAAAGCTGCCGCTTAAACTATTCCCAGGCTAATTTAACAAACCTAAAAGGATGTTTATTTGAACTGTGAACCCATTCGAGGTTCATCTATCAGTATCAATAAGAAGTGGACAGATAAGCTGACATCTTGGGATACATCATGATTGAACTGTAGGTTCTGATACAGGCGGATTCTGAAATCTGTTGTTTTTTCTTCTGTGGAAAGCCTCCAGGCTGGCTGCTGTTCTGAACCCTTGCCTACTCAGGTGGATTTCATTTAGCAGGGAGACAACACATGTAATAAACTGTCATATCAATCAACATTATCTTATTCAAGAAACCTCATGAACTTGCAGATGAATGAAGCTGTAAGACACTTTCTCCCTGTCAAAGGGAATATGATTTTCTCAATCCTCAAGATCAGAAAAAAGGTAGTATAGCACAGAAGAGCCATAAACCCCCTCAAATCCATCCCATTTACTTGCAGAGACTCATGAAGATTATTTTATGGCATTTCAGTTTCATAGTAATGGCTGGTAACTAGGATGTAGTTTGCTAATAGGTTGATGAGATAGTGCCAGGTAGACAGTAGGTAAAATTAGCATGGCCCATCTATTATGACACTGAAGATAGTGCTCAGTAAAAGGCCATAAAAAATAAAAAACATTGGAAACTGTCTTGAAGTTTAAATTGTAACCAGATCAATATTTCAGATTATGGGATGGAGAATTATGTCTTCATCTAACTCTGTCTTTGAGATGGAACTTGGCAAAGTTATAACAATTCTGCAAGAACATCCTTAAAAACTGAGAAGCCATCAGTGGTTACACTGAACCCGTTTAAGAATATTCCTGGTTTGAATTTCCTATTCCTAATTTGAAATTCATTTAGTGTTGCAACCAGACTTTGAAATATAGTACAGCATATTAGGCTCATCACTGAAATTGTTTGTTGCTAGGCATCCTTTGAAACATAACACTTCACTCTAGCAATGTAACATATTATTGGTACTGTATGACTTCCATTCTGAAATCCACCACCACCACCCTCTCCCAGACCTTGAGATTCCATGCATATGACGAGCAGACTGGGGAATAAGCAGAAAAGAATTAAAGGAAACAGGTCTTGCTGCCATGAACAAGACATGGGTTGAAGACTAACTTCTCAGACAGTAGATCAACCTTTTTTTCTTTTAGCACTTGGCTAATATTTTTGTTCAGCATTGTGCATTTAAAATGTATTTTGTTTTAGCTGCTTTAGACTTTTCTAAAATGTGCTCTTTCTAGGCTTGCTCACAGTTGGTGAATTCATATCAACTTTTGTTAGGTCGGTGTGCGCAACTGATGTTTTTTGCAAGCAAAGTCATTAATTGTAGTGGCAGTAGTCATCATGCCAGTGAATCAAACTGGTAAGGGAAGCAAAGGGGAAGATAGAGAAGCTGAAGTAAAGAAAATGTGGCCTCAGAAATAAGGAGTGAGTGCAGAGATCTACCAACTGTCCTCAAGTATCTCATCTAGCCTGAAATGCCTGGCTTAGAAAAGTGACAGATTCCAGTGGCATATCTTGGGCAGGCAAAAAGAACAAAATGCCACAAGCTCTCTCTCAGCTATTTCATGTCCTTTTCTAAAACTTAGTTACATATTTGTTCATGAACTTTAGGAAATATGTACATGCCCTAGATTGTCTTTCATTCTCAAAATAACTGAGCAAGCCATAATAAAACAATGTGGAGTACACTCTTATAATATCATGTTGCTACTTCTGTATTGTGACTGTGGGAGGAGGGCACAAATTATTTTATCATGCTATTTTGAAACCATGGGAAGGGGCCCTGAAGCAAAATTCAAACCTCAAACATTTGACTTATTCACACCACACCCTTTAACAAGACAGACTTACAAAAACTCCCAGCTCAGTAAACCAACCACTAACTGACAGGTTCAAAAGAAACTTCTTCTACAAACAGGATATTCCATGATTATCCCATCTTGTACTTGTCTCTCAAGCATGTGATCCTGACAAAGATCAGAGACAGATTACCACAGTAGTTGGATTACTGGTCTGATGCTGTATTCACATTCTTATGTTCTAGTAGCATGAGGCATTTGTTTCATGCCCTGGTAAATTACAAGGTCTCAGACTTTAACACAGAATCATTATTATGTAGGTAAAGGTGGTGTTTCTCTCTCCCTGCAAGGCACATACAGTTGGACCATCAATACTAAGAATGACTCATATTAGAGGCAGAGAAATATGAACAATCATATCAATTTAAAAGAAAAATCTCTCTAGAGCAATTCTAATGCAGGTTTTAAAAAAAAGTGAGTGGCACATGCAGAATACTGTGATACAAAGTTCTTGTTAAACTTTTTTTTGGAATTGACCTAGGTAATTAACTTGTGGCTGTACCAATCAGAATACATCTGACAAAACCTTTCTGCCACAGCACAGCCTTTATTTACAAACACATACACACATGCACACACCCACATGAGTCTGAAAAGCAGCAAGGTAAGAAGAAAAATGCAATAAAGTTCCATAAGCTAAAATAATTTTCTTTGATGGAAGACAACCAATTACTAACAGGCACATCATAGCTTTTTATATCTTCATTCCGTAATATTTAAGCACCACTCATAAAAACCTGAGCAACTGCAGATCCAAATTAGCTCATAATTTTTTTCCTCACTTACTTATGTCTGAATCCTGCTCTAGGATCTTCATGGAGTTTCACTGACCACAGCAGGACTCTGCACATGCCTACTCTAGCATCACTTGGTACATGGACAGACATTTATAAAGAATCTAATTCCTACTCCTAATATGAAATAAATGTAGTGTTGCAACCAGACTCTGAAATATAGTACAGCATATTAGGCTCCTCACTAAAATCATTTGTTGCTAGGCATCCTTTGAAACATAACACTTGGCAGTTAGATGTGCCAAAGCCCCTACTGGGACTTAAAGCTGGAGGTTCCTGGCTAAAGGGTCTTGCCCCTCTGCTCAGGGTCAGACTGATCACCATATCTGGGGTCAGAAAAGAATTTCTGACCCCATGGTCAGACTGGTATAGACTGTGGGGTTTTTGCCTTCCTCTGTGTGGGGGGTATGAACCTCTACCTGGGATCTCTTAAGTGCATATTAACAACCTTTTATAGAAGCAGGACACTGGCTGCTGTGGTTCCTCTGCTTTACCTGTGGCAGGTTAGGGTGTTATGTCTTATGTTGTTGTCAGGGTTGACAGCAGTCTTACAAAGAGTTTAGATTATGGGTTTGTATACGATGATTAGGATAGGGATGATCCTGCCTCAGGCAGGGGGTTAGACTAGATGGCCACTGGAGGTCCTTTCCAGCCCTGCTTCTCTAGGATACTTACATCATTATACTCTGGAGACCCGATCTTGCATTATACTGACCCGTTCCTGAGAGGTGCTGAGTGCGTCTTCCACTCCTAGCAAGAGGATCAGACCCTACATTTTGGCTATACATTTTAGTTCAGGATCTGTCTTAGTTACAGCACTTGAAATAAAGGTGATCACTACACACACAAAAATGCACATCTGCTGTACCATTCCTTTTATACTCAGTTCCTTTTCACTTTTTCCTTGGAAAGATCAAAGATCATGTTGGAACTAGATTTTTGAAAAGAGTAAACCAGAGGTAGGGTTGTCTTATGAAATAATCTTGTTATTGATTTAAAATGGGAAATGTAGTCACTTTGTGATTTTTGCAACTGTATAACTTGGAGCTGTAATCTGATAAGATCACACAAACTCAGCAGTATCAGGGCTGGTCACTGTTTGGATGAGAGAATTCCAAGAAAATTTTTGTGCCGCAGGAAGTGGTGTTAGTGATTCATTAAAAGGCCTTATTCCTTTTGAGTCAGCCCTGAACTAACATACCAAAGTGTATTGTGCTAGTCAGTCACATTTATAATCCTGACTATTTTGAATTATTAAAGATGTGTCCTATTTGCATTTGTAAGGTTTCTAGCCTCAATATTCTGGTTAAGCTTTTGTGGCATATTGATAACATGCTGATTATGTACGTTTTACCTAGAACTTCAACTGAATGTTAGCCTTTCCTTCCTGTCCTAAAAAAAAGCTATGACATTGCCACAGAATGGGCTGTTGTATGTCCATCCCAAAGATGGCTGTAATTCCAACAGTATTCCAAGTGATTCCTAGAAATAAGAGAAGTAGGGCTGGAAGGGGCCTCCAGAGGTCATCTAGTCCATCCTCCTGCCTGAGGCAGGATCATCCCTATCCAAACTATCCTATGCAAAGCCATAATCTAAACTGTTTGTAAGACTACTGTCAACCCTGACACAATACAAGACATAACATCCTAACCTGCCCATCTCATCTGAAAGTCTTTGAGTTACCTCATCACTGTATCCTACTTTCTACCATCAGCATCATACCTGTAAGGCCAGGAGAAAGTCTCTGGCTGCAGTAAGAACTGAGTATCCATAGGAACAAAAAAGGCTACTTCCTGTAGATCTTATATTCTGTTGACACTCTCCTGAAGTATAGCTATCATGTCAGATGTCTCTGCTAACCTGAAATTAGCTTGGCATCCTTGATTCCCATTCATTCTTACACTACAGTTTGCCAAGCTGCCAATAGGAGGTAGTGCCGCTTAAGGCAGCAGTAAAATGCAACACAATATATTCTTGTACGTAGCCCCAAAAGGAAATAGAGCCCCCAAAGGGAAATAGAGCATCTTCCCTGCCTCCTGTCTCTCTTTATTCCTTTGTTTGGTTCTCACACTGTGGCTATGGACGTGCAGCTCTCATTATGTTTTGCCTTTCTGAGTTACATTTCTTGGTCCTCCTATTCCACTTCCTGCTGAGTAACAGGAAAGAGAGGACGTGTACCGCTGTCTGTAAAGCACTTTGAAATTTATATGAATGAAAGTACTTCATACAATCAGGCTACTACTAGTAGTACATTAAGATGAACTTGTCTTTACTGATGAATACTTTGAGGAACATTCTCCAGGCTAATTATCAGCTCCACCACCTGGAAGAAAAGCAGGACTTTGACAAATCACTCTGTCAGTACAGATGAAAGGGTTTGTATCTACAGGAGCCTAATGACGGATGTTAGCACTGGATAAAACCCAGGATGAATCAACCTTAAGCCACCTTAAATGACTGTTCTTGTGCCAGCAGGAATGCAAGCAGCAGATGACCTCTCACATTTTAGTTTTCCAATCAAATGATGAAATGACCAAGAGGAAAAAGAATGCTAAAAAATTATTCAAGCTGTAACTTAAACCCCAGGAGCCAAATTTTCACAGTGCAGAATTTGACCCAAGAATATATATAATTTTCAGGGGTAGCTTTCTTTGAACAAGGCCAGTAAATGGATTTCAGTTATTTTTCTCGTTTACACATTATACTCTGACATCAGGTCTACCAAAATGAATCTGGAGCCAGAACCCCTGGACCGATGGTATGTTTTGAAATTACATTTGGAACTATTAAGGTATCTAGAATTCATTGGCAAGCTCTAGGGCTGCACTTACCTCTCTCTCCTGGTCTTTTCTAATTTGTCTTTCAAGATCATAATCTCTTTCTTGAGGGCGAGCTGCTGGCTCTCTGCATCCCGCAGTTCTTTCTTCAAGTTTTTGATTTCATTAGCATGCATTAGTTCTCGTTTGGATAGTTCCTCTTCATAGAAAACACTTTTCTTTTCCCAGTCGGCCTTTAATTTAGTGATCTCTTGCTGATGTTCTGTGCTGCTCACCCCTGGTGAGCGACCAATTTGCTTTTGCTAAAAAAGGAACAGCTCAACATTAGTTTTCTTGCACAGCAGAACACTGAAAACGTATGTTTAATAATAACTCAATCTTGATATACACAATCTTATGTTTAGAATATGGCACACTGTGTGAGTATAATTCATACACCAGACTGCAGTTACATATATGCATTTATCTCAACTGTTTAAAAGTCAGTGTCAGAACACAGTTGAGTCCAATTCTCTACTCTCTTCCTGTAGGCTAGCCACTTACATGTTATTTTCAAATCATGGCATAATATTGTTATATCACACTTTAGAATGTTAAAAGCCACATTCTGCCTACTTATAGGCAACCAGGAAGAGACCACAGGGTTTATTCTTGTATTTCCCCAACACAAGCCCTTTGAGTTCACAAAACTGGAAGACCAACTGCATAAAATTCAAGCGGCACCCTAGAGTGGGAAAAGATATAAAGTCTCCAAATCTTACCAAGACCTCTTCTGATTCCAACTCACATACTTTCTACTTGAATTTCTCACATAAGCAATTTGTGAGACAGCTATAAGGGAGCAATTCAGAAACATCAATGCTGACTAGAACACAGGTGTCAAATATGACCAATCTGAAACCTTTTGGCCAGCAGCTTGGAAAAAGAACCAGGATGCAGTTCATCTAAATTTATCATGTATGCCACACCAGACTAGTGGGGAAAACAAACTCTAAGCACCAAGAATGATAGCTTCTTCAATCTGTATCAGTTTGAATGCTGCACAGCTGTTTGGCAAGATCTGCTATTTCAACATTGCTTGGGTTAGCTCTGAAAGCAAAGGACCGATATTCTGCACCCACTACAATCAATGCTTTCCTACTGACTAGTGTGGAAGAAAGTGTACACTCAAAATGAAGCAGAGCCTATTTGACTGAGTATTAATCATCATCTGCTGTTCAAGTCTTAAAATCCAACACTAATTCCCAAAATGAAAAGTACCTTTTAACAAAAGGACATGGAATAGATCAGGTTTTTAAAATCCCTGACACTTAATTATAAAATATATAAAATAAAATATTTAGTAAAGCAACATGGTGCTTTAGGCAGGGCAGTTCAACTAGAAGCCTAAGATAAAATCCCTGAGATATCAGCGTGTCTAGTTATAATCACCAACTTTCCCATGAGCTAATAAAATTCTTCTCAGTCAGCATCAACCAAGGGTTTGTGTACCTTTACTTTGCTGATGTGTAAACAGATGTTGATAGCTACAGGCTGGCCAAGAAAACTTAGATCATCTGTATTTCTATTGGACATCTATCTGAAGAAAAATAAGCCTTGCTACCAACATCGGCTTGGGAATGCATAATCAATTAGATATGCAGTTTCACCCATTTACAATATCACAAGATTACCTCAATCAGAGCAAAGACACAACAATCTAAGGGTAAAATCTTACCCTTATGACAGAACCAAACTAGGGAATAAGAGAACGATCCCATCTGAAGATGTCTCAGGGCAGGCGAGTGTGGAATAGAGCATGAGGATACATTGCTGGGCAGATATCAACAACCATTTCACAGGTTTGCTGCTGCCTGACATGCTAGTTTTCTTCACTGAGACCTACCCACAGCAGATGCAGTAGGTAAAACTGCAACCTTATGTACCAGAAAGTTCCAATGTAATTTCAATGATATTCTAAAACACCAAAACATGAGCCCACAGGACAGAAGAGTTGCTAGTGTGAAAGAAAGTGGTTGGCGAGCGATTGGGTATTGTTTCAAGAACTAAATATTAAAACAGAACTAGAGTTCAACAGTAGCATAAGGAATAGAAAATATATTCTGAGCTGGCCCAAGCCTGATCTCCTGCTGCACACATAAATGTTTTCATATGCATTTCCCTGAGTGCACAAACAGTGTAACTGTGAGGCACAAAAGGATGCAATATACTTTTTTGCACACAGATGGTTAAAGGGCATGTTTGCAAATTTGAACAAGCTTCTTTACCTTAAATAAAGAAAACAATACTAGTCTACCTCACAAAGATGATACAATTAATAACGTTACTAAGTGTATTCAAATATAATTATAACATGGAGGCACTGTTTACAACTGCAAACACAGTATCACGTTTTGAACATCAGTATGCATATGGAACACCATCACAAGAGACTGCAGTAATGCTTTGTGGATTCAGAACTGTGAAGATTCAAACATGGCCACTCAATGTAATCATATTTTCTCCTTTATCCCAGCTGAACACATTGTTAAAAGTTAATCTTGGAAGACTTTCTGCTTGGCTTCTGTGAGATTAGCCCTTAGTGATACTGCTATTTTTTGCTAGTTTTTATTTCAAGATACACAGCTTCCACCTTCCATAGATAAGAGTATTTTGCAGTGACACAATCAAGGCTTTTATTGGGTGAGTATGGTTAACTATCTGTTTGTGATACACAGCTTTTTTATTTATAAAATGTTGGTTAAAGAAACTCTATAAGGAAGCAAAATATATTTAAGCTGAACAGGCATATGCTTTGGCCATAATTTTTCTGTTATTATTTTTCTTTATTAAATAACCTGTCATGGCTCAGGTAGGAGAAAACAGGCAGGGGGCTGGGAATGTAATTTTAAACATGTCAAATATTTAAAAAATACATAATTTATTTTAAGTTTGTCTAGAGTGCTCCTATCAGTGAAGGTTTGGGAACACACACACAAATGTAAAAAATATGCTCATAAAACTTTCAAATGACATCGAAGTCCAAAGCCTCCTGTTTTCCCACCACACTTTCTTGTTCACAAATTCTACCATCCCTTTTTCCAGACCCCAAAAAATCCTGGGAAAATAGGCATGCTTTGAAATTCCAGCTGGAACATACTGAAAAACATTCAGCAACATAAAGAAAAAGGGTTTTACATTTTTATTGAAAAAAGTCAGCACTAGGTATTAGCATTTAAGCTGACTACAATAAGGAGGAACTGAAAGACTAAAATTTCTATAGAAATATACTGGTAATATAATAACAATACAATGCAAGAATAATGGGAAATATATAGGTGATGCTGAACATCTCTGTGTATCATTAAATTTAAGACTTAATTGTCCTAGCAGAGATTTGGCAGGATAAATCACATCACTGGAGTACTGCTTAATAAACATCATGGTTTGTACAGAAGGAGAAGAAAGTAAGTGTTGTGTTATATGACATCTGCACATCTCCAGAGAGCAATTCTATTCCTATATTGGGGGCACATATGCACCCAGAGTGGGCAACAGAATTGCTCCTACACTTCAGTCAGGTAACTGAGAGTTGGTTGCAAGCTGCATTTTGATTATACACATACACTACTAAAATAAGATTCTGCCCTATGTGGGCAAATTACATGAAATCTTGTCAGCTGGGCTTGATGTAATTTACTCTAAGGTTCTTGGGTAACTGACTGAAGAAATCTTGGGGCTGTTAGTGGAGAATACATGATCCAGAAGACTGGAAAAGGCATCTATCTTTAACAAGGGGAAAAAGGAAGACCCAAGGGGTTACTGACTAGCCAGTCTTCAAATCCCAGAAAGATACTGAAAAAAAATGCACAACCCATTTGTAAACACCTAAAAGATAAAAATCACTGTGGATTTGTGAAAAACAAGTCATATCAAAACAGTCAAATTTCTTTCTATGAAAGGGAATAGGCCTGGTGGATAGAGGAGAAGCAGTGGATGTGATATATCTAGAGTTTAACCAGCCTTTTGACATTCACTTTCACAATAGCCTCATAAGCACGCTAAGAAAAGGTGGTCCAGACGAATCTACTGTAATATATATAGACAAACCATTAGAAAAAGTACTTAAAGAGCAGTTAGTTATGACTTACAATCAAACTAGAAGGTTATATCAACTAGGTTCCCCAGGGGGTTGTCCTGTGCTTGATACTATTCTATATTTTCCTTAAAAGTTTGGATGGTAGAATAGAGAACACACTTATTTAATGTGTATACAATACTGAGTTGGAAACTGTTGCAAGCACTTTGGGAAACAGGATCAGAATTCAAAACAATCTTGACAAATTGGAGAAATGGCCTGAAATAAGTGAAATTTAATCAGGACAAGTACACCAAGATAGGACTAACCAACTGCACAAATACTAAAAGAGGTATAACTGGAAAGGCAGGATTTTTCCTGCAAAGTGTCTGAAGGTTATTGTAAATGACAAACTAAGCATGAGACAACAATATCATCATACTGTTGCAATGAGATATATTAACAAGAGTGTCATGTGTCAGGAATATGAGATAATTTTTCCATTCCACTCAGCTCTTGCATTGCCTTCAAAAAAGATGTGAATCAATTGCAGTGTCCAGAGAAGAGCAATAAAAATGATGTGAGATCGAGAAAACATGACTAGAAATAAAGATGGAAAGAAATGGAGTTGTTTTAGTCTAGAGAACAGAAGACTGAAGAGAAACCTAATAACAGTGTTAAAATATGTGAAAGGTCATTAAAAAGAAGGATGTTATAAACAGTTGTTCATGTCCACTGGGGACAGGTCAAAAAGGAATGGGCTTAAAGTACAGCAAGGGAGAATTAAACATTAAAAAAAGCTTTAGCTGTAAAAACAGTGAAGCGATGGAACAGATTACCTAGAAAGGTAGTAGGATCTCCATCATTGGAGGTTTTTGAGAGCAGATTAGAGAAACAGCTTTCAGGAGTGGTTTAGATATAATTGGTCTTGGCCTGGTACATGGGGATAAATTAGATGACCCTTCAAAGTCCCTTCCAGCTCTATTTTCTATGATTCTTTCTGGAGTAGACACATATACCGAGCAATGCTGAACTGTAGAGTCACCATGACTTGAAAGGCTGTTGATTCTGTTGGGGCCCAGCCCAATGAACTATATGGTAAATCATAAGCCTTTTTGACACTGGACTAATATCATCATTGGCAATCTCTTAATTTGAGAATGATCTCTACCACAGCTCATGGATGGGTTT